GAAAGAAAAAGAAAGAAAAGTGACGGGGAGACAATCAGAAAAAAGGTCAGAAAATAAAAGAAGAAAAGAAAAAGAAAGAAAAAAGAAAAAAAAATAAAAGAAAAGTGACGGAGAAATCACAAGAAAGAATAAAGAAAGAAAAGAAAAGAAACAAAAGAAAAAAAAGAAAACAAAAAAAAAAGAAACGAAAACAGAAACAAAAAGAAAGAAAGAAAGAAAGAAAAGAAAGAAAGAAAAAAAAAAAAAAAAGAAAAAAGAAAAAAAGAAAAAAAAAGAAAAAAACAAGAAACGGCAAAAAAAATCAAGGAAAGGAAAAAAAAAAAAAAGAAATGAAAGAAAAAAAATCGAGGAAAGAATTTGAAAAAAAGGAAGGAAAAAAAGAAGGAAGGGATAAAAAAGAAAAAAAGGAAAGAAAAAGAAACATTTCAAAGACCAAAAAAAATTGGGAAGAATACCAATTAAAAAAAAAGAAAGAAAGAAAATGAAAGAAAAAAAAAAAGAAAAAAAGAAAAAGAAAAAAGAAAGAAATAAAGGAGAAAAATAAAATGGAAAAGAATGAAAAAGTGAATGAAAAAGAATGAAGGAAGAAATTCAGAAAAAAGGAATTAACGGTATAAGAAATGATTATTCGACAAAGGAAGGAAAAATAAAAATGAAAATCAGAAAATAATTATAAGAAATGAATGAATGAAATGTTAGAAAGATTTGAAGGAAAAAATCAGTGAATATTGGAAGAAGAAAAAAAGAATCTAAGAAAATTAAAAATAAAGAAAGCAAGAATATAAATAATGAAATAAAGGAGGCAATAACAATTCAAATAACGAGGAATGAATGAGGAAGGAAGAATGAAAATGTGGAAAAGCAATCAAGATGAAAGAAAGAAAGAATCAGAAAAAAAAGAAGATAAAAATAATAATTTGGAAAGAGTGACAAAAAGCATAAAGGTCAGCAAAAGAAAGAAAGAAAGAAAGAAAGAAAATCCGTAGGAATATAACAAGAAAGACTTAAAAAAAGGAATGTGTTGATTTTAAAAAGATGACGAAAAGAGAAAAAAAGGAAGATAATTCACTGAAACTGAATCATAGATTTCAGCTAAAAAATGAAAAAAGAGGAAAAAAAAACGGAATGTGAAGAAAGAAAGAAAGAAAGAAAGAAAAGAAAAAAAAAGTAAAAGAAATGAAAGAAAAGAAATGATAATTGGTTTGTGGATTGGTCATTTTAAGAAAATTATATTTTTTTACCGAAACGTCGTGAACATTTTCTAAAGATGAGGATTTACCGAATAATGTTAATAATTATCACCTCAGAGATTTTCTATATAATGAAATGGAATTGAAAGAAAAAATTAAAAGAAATAAAAGAAAGAAAGAAAGAAAAAATGAATGTCTCAATAAATGAAAGTTTGCAGGAAAGAAATGAGGGATTAATAAAATGAACGAAAAGAAAGCGACTTTCAAAGTTTTCTACGAAAGATACAATAGAAAATTTTCTAAATAAAGAAAAGAAAGAAAGAAAGAAAAAAGAAAAGAAAGAAAGAAATTTAAATTTTCAAGAAAGAAAAAAATATGAAATTAAATCTAACAAATGAAATTTTAATTTTTTAAAAAAAATGGAAGAAAGGAAGGAAGGAAGAAAGAAAGGAAGGAAGGAGAACAAACAGTATTAAAAAAGAACAAGAAAGAAAATCGAGGAATAAAAGGAAGGAATGGCAATCAGAGAATGAGTGAAGAAAGAAAGAAAGAAAGAAAGAAAGAATGTCTCAATGAATGAAAGTTCGCAGGAAAGAAATGAAGGATAAATAAAATAAAATGAATGAAAAGAAAGAAAGAAAGTGAAAGAAAGTATGAAGGATAAAATAGAAAGAAAGAATAAATAAATGAACGGATCAATGAATGAAAGAGTGTAGGAAAGAAATGAAGGATAAATAAAATGTATGAAAAGAATGCGACAGAGAGTACGAAGGATACAACAGAAAGAAAGAAAGAAAGAAAGAAAGAAAATTAAACCTTGTAATTTAAAGAAAAAGGATGTATGAAAATTGTTTTTTTGAAAGTAAGTAAACAAAAGAAAGACAATTAGAAAAAAATAGAAGGAAGGAAGGAAGGCAGGAAGGAGAACAAACAGTATTAGGAAAAAGAAAAAGAAAGAAAATCGAGGAATAAAAGGAAGGAATGGCAATCAGAGAATGAGTGAAGAAAGAAAGAAAGAAAGAAGAAAAGAAAGAAAGAAAGAAAGAAAGAAAGAAAGAAAGAAAGAAAGAATGAAAAAAGACAACTTCAGTGAAAGGAAGAAAGAAAGGGATAAAGACAGGATAAGAAGGACAAAAATAAAAGATAGAACGAAAGAAAGGATAAAAAGGAAGAAGAAAACGTGGAATAAAATTAAGGAGAAAAGTATAGATATACGTGAAAGGGTAAATAAAAAAGCAGGAAAGAAAAAAGTTGAATGAAAAAGAAAACAGAAGACAAAAATTTTCTTCTTTTCTTTTTTTTTTTTTCATTTCGTATAGAGACGAAGGCTTTATACCGTGTAGTTTCAACTAATTCTACATACTCTTAGCATAACAAAAACAATAGCAAGTTATGGAAATGTTATCTCAACATAATATAAGAAGCAGGGCTCGATTCCCGAGGATATGAATAGCAAAGAGATAACGTGATGTTGATTCGGGAGCGGTCGTGGGGAGCGGGGGAGACCGTGCAACGGGCAGAATCGAACTAAAAGACCGATGGAAATGGAAGCAGTCGGATTCCTCTTCTGGTGATGAAGATGATTAGAATTTTTTGCATCGGAGAGTTTTTGTTTTGTTTTTTCTATGGAGAGAAAACGAACCGAAAAACAGACGAATGGGTGAATTGTTTGCTTTCGAAAGAAAAGAAAATTTTTTAAAAGTTTATAGAAAAGAAAGAAAGAAAGAAAAACAAAAGAGAAAGAGAGACTATGGATGTAAAATAAAACAACAATCACAGAGAAAAAAGAGAATGTTTAAGACAGTCGGTTCAAAGAAGGTCAACAAAAAGCGATGTCAGAAAAAGCCGTTTTAAATCTATGATGCGATAAGCCAGAGTTTATAAAACTAAAGATGTTTATTAATTTTTTTTTGAATACCGTCATCTTCATTTATATCGAACATAAAACATGCCATTTTTTTTTTTTTTTTTTTTTTTTTCTTTCCTTTTTCGTCCATTCTTCTTTTTCCGTCTTCCTTCCTTTTCTCTCCGGGCTTTCAAACAGTAGTAGACGTTTATCGCGTAGTTCTCATTTAGGACAGGGTTTCCGATTGCTTCATATATCTCCTTCAAATCTAATATCTGCGCCTGAACTTTTCTTTTTTTATTCACTATTTCATTTTCTTTTCTCACCTTCACCAACTGGAGTACATAGTGTTGGGGACGTGCAGAATTTATTTTTATGCTTGAAAATAAATCAGAAAGAATTTGTGTAGGTTGCGTTTTTTCTGCATCCACAACAAATAAATAAACGAAATTTAAAATACGATTAAAACAAGACATATTCAATTAGAAATCAATTGCAACATTTATATACAATTCAAATATATATACAAACGGGATAATTGATATATGTTATGTTTCGAAATGTATGAGTCAGCGATGATGTATCTTTTGCGCATTAAAATCGTGATTTTTAGTGACGTTTTTCTTTTTTCAATAAAGCTCTCTGTTTCTGTTTCTTTTACTGACTGTCTAAAGTTGGTAATTGTCTTTAACGTCTGGTCAGCAATGACTAAGACGGGAGTCTTTGAAAAAAGTTCATCTTGAAATTTGGTAATTACTACTCTGAAGGTTCACACGTTTTCGGTTTATATAATCACTGATTGGCTCCCATAATATGAGCAGGAAAACAGATTGGTCGCGTGCTCGGTTTGATTGGTCGGAACTTTCCAATCAAAAAGCCAGATTGGAGGTGATTGACCAATGAATACTTGTTATATTGTCTGAAAGTAGAATGTTTTTCTTTTCAGATAGGAAGAGTGCATTTCCTACAAAGAGGTAAGGCTTCAGTGTTTCTTTCAAATTCTATAATAAACGCCTTTTCGTCTGGTTCAAACTTATCGTCGGTTTTTTTCTTTCTAAAACCCTTGTTTCTTTTTGAGGATTGACTTTCTGCTTCTTCCTAACATCCGGTTCTTTCTGTTTTCTATCGTTTTTTCATAAACTCTGACATTTTATTCTCTAACTATTTATTTAATTTTTATTTCTCTCTCCTCCACCAACTGGATTAGATAGGTTCATCTATCGTCCTGTTCACGCTCGTCCTCAGTTTATTTAAACCTTAGTAGAGATCTACCCCTTGTTTCTTGTTTAGGATTGGGTTTCCGGTACCTGCTAAAGTCTGCTTCAGCTCTGCATCCTAACAACGCTGTTTGAACTGTGAAATTTTATTTATTAACTATTTCTTTTCTTTTTATTTTTTTTTTTTTCCTTCAATTGAAATTTTGTTATTTTCCGGTCTATTCAATTTCTTATTCAATTGAACAGGTTTATCCCTTGTTTTGTTTTTCTTTTGATTTTCCGGTTCCTTAATTTCTTTTTCCGTAACCTTTCTCTTTTCTTTTTTCCACCCTAACTTTGTCCTTTCCTTACTTTACATATCTCCTTCTGAGTAACTTTCTACATTTCTTTTCTTATTTCTTTCATTTTTTTTCTTTAAATAATTCTTTTAAAATTTTTTCTTTCTTTTCTTTTTTTCTTTCAATTCTTTTTTTTTCTTTTTTTAAATTCCATAACTTTCAATTCTTCTTTTTTTAACATTTTTTTCTTTTTCATTTTTCTTTCTTTCTTTCTTTCATTCTTTCTTTCTTTCATTCATTCTTTCTTTCATTCATTCATTCATTCATTCTTTCATTCATTCATTCTTTCATTCATTCATTCATTCTTATCTTTCATTCATTCATTATTTCTTTCACTCATTCTTTTCTTTCATTCATTTATTTCTTTCATTCATTCTTTCATTTCATCATTCATTTCATTTATTTCATTTCATTTTTCTTTCTTTCATTCATTCATTTTTTTTCATTCATTCTTTTTTCATTCTTTCATTCATTCATTCTTTTCTTTCATTTTTCTTTTTTTCATTCTTTCATTCATTTTCTTTTTTCATTCATTCATTCTTTCTTTCTTTCATTCTTTCATTCATTCATTTTTTCTTTCATTCATTTTTCATTCATTCTTTCTTTCATTTTCATTCATTCTTTCATTCTTTTTTCTTTCATTCTTTTCATTCTTTCTTTCTTTCTTTTTCATTCATTTTCTTTCTTTCTTTCATTCATTCTTTCTTTCTTTTCATTCTTTCTTTCATTCATTTCTTCTTCTTTTCATTCATTCTTTCTTTCATTCATTCTTTTCATTTCTTTTCTTTCTTTCATTTCATTCTTTTCTTTTTTTTTTTCTTTCTTTCATTCATTCATTCTTTCTTTCTTTTTTTCTTTTATTCTTTTCTTTTTTTCTTTTTCTTTCATTCATTCATTCTTTCATTCATTTATTCTTTCATTCATTCTTTCTTTCATTCATTCATTCTTTCTTTCTTTCATTTATTTCATTGATATTTTTCTTATTTTTTTTCTAATCTCTTTCTTTCTTTCGATCATTCCTTCTTTCCGGTTGTTTCTTTATACGATGTTATTTCATTCTTTCTTTCGTTTTATCGCAGGTACTTTTTCTTTTCACACCTCACTTTTCACTCATTCATTCATTCATTCATTCTTTCTTTCTTTTTCTTTCTTTCATACTTTCAGTCTTTCTTTTCTTTTATTTCTTTTTCATATAATCTTTTATTTTTCAATTCTATCATTTACCTATTTTTACTTCCTTCACTCCTCTCTCATTTCCTGTTTCTTTCTTTCTTTAAATCAATTTTTTTACCTGCATTTATATTTTAATTCCTTTTCATTCCGCATTACTTTTCCTGTGCTTCCTTCGTTTCATTATTCATTCATTCCTTCCTTCCCCTTCCCCCTATCCAACCTACAAGTCTGCAATATTTTGCTCATTCTGTTATTTCTATTATTATTTTTTTGTTTTGTTTTGTTTTTGTTTGAGAAACGTACTTTCGGGAGCTATCCTATAAGTAAAACAAAGATGAACAATTAAGCATACAACACCGGCAGAAATATACACGAACAAGAAACGAATACAAGACGAAAAAAAAAAAAGAAAAAGTCGCCCAGAAAGAATCGAAAAAATGCAACATTCATGAAAGGAAATGTTATCTAGCCTGGCAGATACAAAACATTTCTGCCAAATATCAGACAACACTTACGCATGCGTGCGAGCATGCGCTAATGTACATGCGCAGGCATAAAAGTCAACGTAAGCGGTCCTTCATATCGCTTGCTTTTTTTTTTATTTCTGTTTAGACTTTTTTGTTTATTATATATATATATATATATATATATATATATATATATATATATATATATATATATATATATATATATATATGTGCTGTATAGATAGATAGATAGATCCAGAGTTTGAGTAAATTTTCGGGTTTTAATATTTTGTTATCCAGGCAGTTATTCATAGAAGCCCGAATTGTTTACTCATAGTACTGTGTTGGCAAAAAAGTTATTTCGTTTATTAAGCAGAAAATGTACTTAATAAACAGAACCACCTTTCTTTTGTATGCTTTTTTAAAAATTTCTCTGCAAGTAAGGTAAGACGCCACTAAGACGCAAGGTATTTATTGAGATTGTAAGAGAATGAGAAGATTTAGGGAGAAAGCATAATAAATGAACAGAATTTAAGAATAGACGATGTACGATTGAGGTCGTATTTAAATTAGTGAATGTTTTTAGTCTTATATTTTCAATTTTTTTTTTATTTATCCTTAGAAAATTTAGCCTCTTATCTGAGACGAAAGGCGTCGAGCGTTTTTTTTTTTGTTTTTTTTTTTTTCTGACTGCAGATGTGTGATGGTCTTCCATATATTTCGTTCGTAAAGTGTGGTTATTTAAGCTGTTGTTACATTTGTATCAACTTGGACCTAATTAGTCATTCTCCTTCGATCTGGTCCATCTACAAGAGTTTTTCACCGACAGAAATGGCTACCACAGTATGCAGTTTTTCTTTATTGCCTGACCATTTTCTGAAAACCTTAGATAATACATTTTGTGTGAAAACTCTGGTAGGTCAGAAATTTTCGGAAATACTCAGAATCGTCAATTTGGCACCAACGATCATACCACTTTCAAAGACGTTTAAAATCACAGTGCTTTCTCATACTAATGCATGAAGTGAAATTCAGCAGGCCGCCAGGACCATGCTCAGGTGCCTTTAGCCATAAAATTACTTGCACGTCTCAGACTGAATAGAAATTAGAAAATAATAAAAATGTTTGTTCAAGTTTACTTAATTGAATAGCAAGAGTGTGTATTTGAGTCATGAATTGATTTTTAAACCGACTTTCTTTCTTGTTACTTGTTTTGATGGAGAATATTACCCTACAAGTTTGGACTCGGCCGTCGGACGAAAAACATAA